AGCACTGCATGTTTTCCTCATATGACTAATGCTAAATTTAAGCCTTTTAAGGTAACGCCATCAAAGAATCCTTTAAACTAGTTCCATTAAATCGCAGTCTGCATCTCTGGCTTCTCATAGTGACACATGCATCACAGTTGGGGATACAAAAAGAAGAAAACTTAAAAAAAAATCCACAAATGTGTTTCAATACAACCTGTCAGTTAATAGCAATAGTTTTCTTTGTTCATTTTTTTTGTTCAGTGTTCCCAAAGAAGAAACAGACCCTTCACAGGCTTGTTCTTGGTAGTCTATGAGATTTTCATGGATCTGTATCACTGTTTGTGGGAGAGTTTGGCTTTCATTTTGTCCTCTTTATCAGTATTTTTGTGACTTGAGTGACTAGCAAAGACTCAGAGAACTAGCTTGCAGGCACTGTTCTTTCAGCATGGACTGAAAGCAACATTCTTCTACAGAGTATTATCTGCAATGGCTGAACCTAGAGGTTATCAGCGGCTAATGTGCAGACCAGAACTAGGGTAGAATGTGTTGTTCACTGCGGATAGTTTGCGCTGCTGGGCTGTAAAGCATGGCTTGTTCTTTTGCAGGTAATGAGCCTCTCCCCTGCACCTCTGTCACTGCTAATCAAGGCAGCTCCTATCCTCACAGAAGAGATGTATGGGGACATCCAGCCAGCAGCCTGGGAGCTCCTGCTCAGTGTGGATGAGCACATGGCTGGAGCAGCAGGTAAGAGAACAAAACCACTTAGTATGGCTACGCTGGCTGCACAACTCGCAGCAGATCACAGGACCTTGCAAGACAGCTTTACAGTGGAGGAGTCAGAACACCACCTAGAGTTTCTTGGGGGCTGTTTGGTTTTCATAGACCTTTGTGTGGCTTTGTGCTCTGTAAAAAAGAGGTGGTCAGAAGGATCAGGAAGGGCAATCTCTCAGGCCCTGGTTGTGGTGTGTGATTAGAGAGCATCAAAATTAATATTTGTGTTTAGCTGGGCTTACAAGCAGAGGAAACATGGTGATTTAATCTGTCCAGAGTTTACTGAAGTATTTTGTATTTTGCCTCGTGAGAATTGTTAGCACCATTTGAGGGTTGCTAGAAAAACTGAGAAAGGGGAGGAAAGTGGAACGATCGTCGGTCCTCTATTGTGCTGAAAGAAAAATTCTCATGTTGCATACAGACAGTCACATTGCTCAGTAAGCGGTCTTATAGCATGGTATTTATCTAAATTTTCCATTTCCACTTAGTATTAAATTTTTCAGATTATGTTTGTGGATGACATGTAGTTAAGAGGCATCTTTAATACAGAAGATTAGAACATCATATACCTGTGAGAGTATTACCTTGAAAAAGAAATTCTGGACATGGGATGAAATTTATTCCTACAAAGTGTAAGATTATGTCTTTGCAAACTAATAAGAAGAACTTTTCTGTTATGAGCTTGGATCTTCTCCTGTGGAACTGATAGAGATTCAGAGTATATCACTTGGCCAGAAGATGACTGTCTTAACGAGCAGAATTCAGCTGTGGAAACCGTAAACACAGTGAGGATGTGTCAGAGGAGGTATTTCATTAGAGATTCAAAGTATTAATGCTGTTGTAAAGCATGTTGTATAAATACCTAGAGCACAGCACTTTCATGCACAGTTCTGAAGAAAGAGACATTTACCTAGGATGGGTACAATGAAAGACTGTTAGGACAGGAGGAAGAACAGAAAGGCTACGTAATAAGGATATTTATTTAATAAATTCAGATCAAGACTGAGAGAGGATACAGATGCTCTCCATAAATACAGCAGATCAGACAAGTAGGATGATTTATCTAAACCATGGTAGTATAGAATCATAAAATCACAGAATTGTTTTGGTTAGAAAAGATCTTTAAGATCATCAAGTCTAACCGTTACCTAACTCTACCAGGCCCACTTCTAAACCATGTCCCTGAGCAACATATCTAAACGGCTTTTAAACACTTCCAAGAATGTTGATTCAACCACTTCCCTGGGCAGTCTGTTCTGGTCTTTGATAACCCTACCAGTGTATAGGGTTTTATGACCCCTTTCATCTGGAAAACAGAATATATCTAGCCACTAGAAAAGAGAGCAAATGCACTTAGGTTTAAAAGTTTTTGAAAGGGATTAAATTATGTGACTCAGGAGGTCCTTTTTTAGATGTACTGTCCTGTCGAAATGCTCATAGCCAGTGCGTGCTAATGCTAGATGTTCAGAAATCATGAGCTGACAACCCTAGAAACTGTGAACATCCTTCACAAACAATACACAGATTTCTTAAACAAAGCATAAATTAAAGCAACAAATTTTGTAAGCCAATCTCCCACAACTTTCAAATTCTACCTTTCTCCTCCTTCAGCAGCCCAGGAAATGGCTTAAAGATTTTCATCTTCCCCAGGTTTGCACACCTAAGGCAGCCATCACAGGTGGTTTTTATTAACATTTTATCAGAAGCTGCTAACAATGCAAGAGTTCCTAACAATGCAAGAGTGTCCTCAAACATCACTTCCCTTTTCATCACACTTCAGTCTAGGTTACCAGTCCTTTGTCTCCCACATCTGGCAGTGTGTTCTGCTCTGAAGTCCAGTGTTTGACTCCACATCTCATGTTCTTCATATTCCACATCTTAACTTCCTGACAAGAGTAGGCTGCCCCTCAAAGTAGCTTCCAAGATATATCTTCCTCCTTCTCCCCTTCTTGAAAGAAGCATTTTAATCCATCTGAAGGTTTGTAGTAGCGTTTTTGGCAGCGAGTGATTTCAGCCCGAGCATAAATTACATTTATCAAGGTCAAAACCTGGAAACTCCTAATGTTGCTATGCACAAGCTGGATAAAAAACTCCTGTGTCAGCATACAACAGCACCATCTACTGACCTCTTCCAAGGCCGTATTTCTTTTCTTTGGGTACTTTGGATGAGCTCACACTTTTCAATCAGTCCTAATAAGACTTGACATAAGTACACTGAAATGACCAATGAGTAGACAGTTCTCTCAGTTGGTGATACAGGAAGGTCCCTACAGATCTGGAGCAGGACTTCGCAGCAGGGACAGGAACCGTCACAGTGCAAGGCAGGACCTAGGCCGTCATAGAGCAGCAGACTGGCTCCCACCAGCACAGCTCTCATGTCTGGCACCTTCTGAATAAGTATTGAGGCAAACACGATGGCAAATGTCCTCTTTCTACTGTGAAGGAAGGGCCACCAAATCCAGAGAGAAATTGTCCCCAGCGATCTGCGGGGAGCTGCTGATCAAAGAAGTCAAAGACACCCACTGAACTCCCACAGCAACACTGTTCCCTCTGCTTTTGTTTCCTGCTCAGTGCCCCTCAGACACCCATCCAAATTAATTGGCCTCCACTAGTCCGGAGCTGACTATGCCTGTTTATGTTTTAGTATGCTCCATTGAAGCAACTATAGGCCAGCTCAGCTTCTATTGTGCTGTTTTCCATTGTGATCTGGTCTCACGATTCACAGCAACTCTTGGAGGCAGATTGTGATTATTGCATAGTGCCCATTTAACTAAAAGCTTTTGTTGTTGTTTTACCCATGAATATAAACAGGGGCACTGCCTCCCGCTTTGGGGGGAAGGCAGAGCTACTGTTAAATTAACCTTTATTAACCATCACAGAAATCACTTGGAAGGGAAGTCTTTGCAAGCCAAACTCAATTAGTCCTGCAACTGCAGGAAATGCCTCTTATTTTAAACCACTCATGACTGAGAATTTTGGTGAGAAGAGCAAAGCTGCATTTTGTTTTAAAAGCAGGTTTTCCAGGAGTTCTTACAAGCTTCATACATAACACTGTGTAGCTCCAAAAGATGGAATCACACGTGTTTGGTTTCATGAATAAGTACAATTATCACTAGGTCTGGTAGACTGCTGATCTAATTTTTGGAGGCAAGATTAGGTTTCTTTTGGTGGGGATTTGTACAGCTGCAGTTTTTCTCTGCCAAATAAACGCATTATTAAGGAAAACAGATGATCAGATGTTCTCTCCCTGCAGCTGCCATGTTCCTGCTGTGTGCTGTGAAAGTGCCAGAGGCCGTTTCTGACATGCTGATGTCCGAATTTCATCACCCAGAGACAGTGCAAAGACTGAATGCCATTCTCAAATTTCACACGCTCTGGAGGTTTAGGTATCAAGTCTGGCCAAGAATGGAAGAGGGAGCACAGCAGATATTTAAGGTAGATAAGACACATGAAACACCATTTACAGCTTGCTTTGTGGGATAGATATGTAACGACACTGCCATGAAATTGCCTGAAAGTCTGTTTACAGAAAAAAACGATTGTGTAAGTCACACTAGCGTGGGAGGTGATGTGTGGAACCCTTGTCTAAAATGGGGAGAGCATAATGGGGACACAGATCAGGAAAAACATCAGAGAAAGAAATAAATGTGTGTTATACATGGCGCTACAGCATAGTGAGAGACAGACGGGAAAATTTGCAGAGGTTATTAATGTCTCGTGCTCATGTTTAATTAGCAGTACCGACATTAATAATAGTCTGCTGTAACAAAATCTTTTTGTTTAGATCCCTCCTCCAAGTATAAACTTCACTCTGCCTTCTCCTGTCCTGGGGATGCCATCTGTGCCCATGTTTGACCCCCCCTGGGTCCCTCAGTGCAGTGGGAGTGTGCAAGATCCTATCAATGAAGACCAGTCGGTAAGCAGTCATCATGAGAATAAGCACATTTTTTTTCTTTAATGGCATAGGGGAAGTTAGGCCAAAAGATGTGGGCTAAACTGCGTTTTCTTGTCTTCCACAGCTGGGTAAAATCTAGTACACAGTCTGTGTAGGGCACACAATTTTCTATATGGGCAAAAGGCTTTTCTGTTCGTTCACTGACATTCCTGTGAGAGACAGTAACTCAGATCTTAGGAGCACACAGCTGTTCTCTCTCCAAGAGATTAGTTCACTTGAACTGCCTGACTGTTTTCTCTTCGCTGGTTTGTGTGGTGTATCTTGGAGGAGTCTGCACCAAGGCTTATCGTTGACATAGTTCCAAGAGGAGTCTCCTGGTGAAGCTCTGTTCAGCTGGCACTACTCCTGATTCGTATTTAGAAACTGAGCTGCTGAATGTCACTGAGGTCTCTGGCAGGATATGTGCATCTTAACTAACAGCTTCAGGCTGTGTTTCTTCTCTTTTCTTCCTGACAGAAGTCATTTTCAGCCAGAGCTGTATCACGTTCTCATCAGCGAGCGGAGCACATCCTGAAGAACTTGCAGCAGGAGGAAGAGAAGAAACGCCTGGGCCGAGAAGCCAGTCTCATCACTGCCATCCCCATCACGCAGGAGGCCTGCTATGAGCCAACCTGCACACCAAGCTCGGAGCAGGAAGAAGAAGGTGTGCTCCAGGGCCAGGAACTGCATCCTAAGAACCTGAGAGCACCTGCCACCAACACAAAGCACTGCTTAGGGGTGTGATGTCCAGGAACATTGTTCGTTAGTGTTAGAAAAGCTATAACCACATCCATTTGTTGAAGAGCCCAAGTCATTGAGAGAAAGTATAATCAAAAATTAGTGAAAGAAACCCACAAAACCTTGGGTGTATTGAGTGCTTGCTGTGTAACCTGAAGCCCTTTGCCCCTCTCCCCACAGCCTCAGTGAAACTTGCCAGCATTTAACATCTCAAAGCTCCCAGCATCTTGCTGGATTTAACGCAATGTGAATTACCTACACTCTTTGTTTTGCTTGATTTGAATCCTTTAATAATTAAAGGATGGGAAGAATCACCCTTTGGTAGTATCTGTCTTAAGACATATAGCTTAGGATAGGCTGAGCTGCCCCTGGAGTTTTCTAGCAGTACGGTGACTAGCGGGGAAGCCTAGATGACCAGCTTAACCTCGGTACCAGATTTTAAGACAGTCAAAGTTACGTGATGTGAGTCATGAAAAGATTAGTTGTTGGGTGAGGGTGTCTAGGCTAGCAGAGGACAAAGATTTCATTAAAGGCACTTCAAGGCATGTGCCATTAGGTGACTACAGTGATGTTCAGATCTAAACATACACTGGGAATTTTTGAGCAGAAATCCCAGTCCTTAGGAAAAACTAAGCACCAGCAACCGTGATGGTTAACAGAGTATAAGTGAAAAGAAGTATAGAAGCAACTCAATGACAATGTAGCTCACCAAAGCACTGAACACTCTTACAGAACAATGCCCTGCTGGTTCCCAAAGCATGAGCAAATTACCAGACTCATCTTTATAGATTTTAAATTGTGTCCTTTGAGTGTTACTCAAGTTGAATTTTTAATGTTCGAATTTGGTTGTAAGTGCTGTCCTTCAGGAAGCACCCTAATGCCTGTCACTTGGATCTGGATTGACATTTCCTGTTCTCTTTGTCAGTAGAAGAAGTTGCCAACTTGGCCTCCCGCCGTCTCTCTGTGAGTCCTTCCTGCACCTCCAGTACATCCCACAGGAACTATTCTTTCCGCCGTGGCTCTGTCTGGTCAGTGAGGTCAGCAGTCAGTGCAGAAGGTGGGTTGATTTCACTTTGAAGTACCCTTTCCTAGGATTTCATTCACTGTATGCCTCTCCTGTTGACCCATAAAGCTGGTGGCAATAAAGCTGGTGACCCATAAAGCTCTTTTTGCTCAATGTATTCACAAGCTTGAGCTACTTTATAATAAATTACTGTCCTTTATTAGTTTATTCACCCCTGTCACCACAATGCCTTTCCTTACTTCTCTTGTTTCATTTAGAGAGTAGTGCCATGGAGAGCAGTTTAGCTGAAAAAAATTGTAATGAAATGGGATTTTGTTAAAAAAAAAATTAGGGTTTCCTACAAGAAAAGAAATGTAAATTGAAAAAATATGTGTTTGCAATGAAAATGATTGATCAAGAAGTTGGCTGGAGGCTGTTTCTTCTTGGAACTAGCAGTAAACTTGCCATGCTTGCACAGTTATCAGACAGCCTATCATTTTATTCTGTCTGTACAGCACTTAATATAAATGTTTATCTAGCCTGCCTGGATAATACCACAGTTTTATTCACTAATTCTCACTTTCTACACTTATTACTGCTCCAGATGAAGAACACACCACGGAGCATACTCCAAATCATCACGTGCCACAGCCACCTCAAGCTGTGTTTCCAGCATGCATCTGTGCAGCAGTGCTCCCCATTGTCCATTTGATGGAGGATGGAGAAGTCCGGGAGGATGGAGTAGCTGGTACTGACCTAAACTAATCTTCAAGGATTCGTGGTCGAAGGTGGCAGAACCTGCCTGCACTTTGAACAATGGCTTACATTTGTTAGGTGCCATAAATAAAGTGGCAACCTTGCATTTGCTCACTGTTCATGTTTCCTAGAAGTATTATGTGCGATATATTGCTATGAGTATATATGTTAAGAAGTTAGTGAATGATCTATTAAATCCTCACAACTACTTGAACATAGATTGACAACAGAAATCTGACTTTGTAGGGCTTTTCCTTTCTTACTTGATGATTTGTGTTTGATTTTGAGGGGTTTTTTTTCTCTTTTGGGGCCCTAAAAGAGTCCCAAATTCAAGAAATTGAGAAGCTGAAAAGGGTCTAGTGGGGGAATATTAGAGGGCCTAAAACCAGGTTTCTGTGAGCAGTGATTGCAGAAGATGAACCTTTTTTGGTGTGAGGAAGAGGAAACAGAGCTAGAGGCTACAGCTAGGGAAGTTCAGGTTAAGAAATTAGGAAGGAACTTCATAGCCAGGAGCATAGTGCAATTTCCATTGATTCTTCATCCATAGCAGCTATCAAGCCTTGACTAGTAGAAGTCTTGGTTCACATAATCTAGTGTAGGTGTCAGTCCTGCTCCAAGCCAGGAGACCTCCATAGATCTGTTCCCATCAACATTTCTTGGATCCTATGACAAACAGAAAGCCATCTATACACGGCTCAAACACTTTGATTATGGTCAGTGATGTATTTGTAAAGTAATAATGCATTTTTTTCTTTTTTTCTCTAAAACGGTTATAGATAGTGGACTGTTGCCCTTCCTTCCTTTCTCATCCCTCATCATGGCAGATGATTGCACATTTAATTTTCTGTTACATTTTGTATTTGGTTTTGAGTGGATGTAGTCAGCCACTGTATGTATCATTTTGTGATCAGAAACTGAGTACTGAAAACAAAATAATAAATAATTCTCTGTTGTTGCTAATCTTCATAGGACTGCAGTTAATTACACTTTGGGGAGATGATCATCAGCACAATTCCCTGCTGTCTCTCTAATACTGTTCACCAATACCGGATAAAATCACTCAATGAATCACGTTGAAATTGAACTTCTATGCATGAACAGAAAAAGTAGATGAATTTATGGTTTTCAATTGCCAGATTTTTCCATCTGGAGCTATGAGTCTGATTTGTTATTTATTATTCCTCTGACTACAGTGGTGAAGTCCTCCCTAACCAGTAGTTAGGGAAGTTTCAAATATTGGACCTGCCATTATTACTTGAGATGACTGCACTGGTGATCAGGAATCCTAGTGCATGAAAGAGGCTCCTATGTGTTTTAGTGCAAAATATGACAATTGTTGTAGAAGGTTAGGAACTTTTGCATCTAAGTGTTGAAGGCTTTTCCAAGGGAGATGGTTCTGACCTTGTTTTCTTTCTCCTCTACAGTAAGCGCTGTTGCTCAGCAGGTCCTGTGGAACTGCTTAATTGAAGACCCCTCTACAGTTCTGCGCCATTTCCTTGAGAAGCTCACAATCAGCAACCGACAGGTTAACTCTTCCTCTCACCAGTGGGTGTATGTATTGCTTAGAGCAGGAGAGCACAGCTGCAAGCAGAGTCACCCTGTGGGTATCACTACAGTAGAACATTTGCTATTATAATGTAGCTCAAAGTCTTTTAGGCTGTATCATCACTTGGCTTCAATCTGCCTGCTAATGTGAATAGGACAAGGCTCATTTACTACCACTAAGGATCTGACTTGCTCTAAGCTTTGAACAGCTGCTTAGTGAAGCACAACCCTTTCAGTCTAGCATAGGCAGTAGTGCCTCTGCCCGTATCGCTCTGTTTAGCTTTCTCTGAAAGATGGGGATGTTCTTGCCTGTCCCTGGCTTATTAGACCACTTTCTACTGCCACAGCTAAGGCTTGTAGAAGAAAGGCATACCAGTTCTGACTGGATAAAAAGCAGGGAGATTCTCCATTCCACTTTGTCAACTGCACCCTTGATGTATGATATCAGTAATATCACTGCCCTCGTCTTCCAAGACACCACCTGAAAATTGACTACAAAATGAATATGAAACCTTGAGAAGGGCTGGGAAAGGCTACTTTTTTGATCCTTTGATCCTCCAGTGGCCTCACTATTCCTGAGACTTCTCAGCCATAGTCCCCAAAGCTTCTCAGAGAGTCGCTTCTGCTTCTAAGTATCTTTGAGAAGGAAGGTATGTGCTGTCCAACCTCAGAGGCTTCTGAGCTGTCATAACTTGCTGGTTTACCATCTTTTCATAGGCCTGCTACAACGAGTATAGAACACAGAGAACAGGTGTATTTCCTTAGAAGCTTTCAGCAGATGTATCATTGACATGAGTTGTCCTATGCATATTCATGCCCACAACACTAGTTTAAATCTGCTGTGGGTTAAGAGGATGAGGGCCAAAAAAGAATTTTATTAAACAGGCTGTCTGTCCTTAACTGACAGTGAGATTCCTTTCCCTCTACACCCCTTTACCACCATAAGAAATGTATTAGTCTACATTTAAAGCAGGCAGCCTCTAAAGGAAGAAAAGCTAGATTCTGCCTGCAACTTCTTCCCAGCAGCCACAGCTATTGAGTTGAGCTGGACTAGATTTCAAAGATCATCTAGTTAGTTATTTGTTGTGATAAGCACCACAGGAATTATCACAGGGAGAGGAGTGCAGAATCAGGATGCTGCAGGCAGTACAAATTGCAATAGGAGATATTGGCTCTCTGAAATAAAAAAGAAAAACATTGGCCTGGGTGCTGTGCCTGGGCAGTGGTCACAAGCATATAGTTCTACTTCATGCACCGAGAGACAGAGCTGAGCAAAGGAATATAGAAAAATGGGAAGAAACAAGGCCAGAGAGGGCAAAAGGGAGAAATCCATTCTCCATTTTGTGACGGAAAGAAAAAAAAAAATTTGCTCTTCTTCCAGGATGAGCTGATATATATGTTACGGAAGCTTTTGTTGAACATTGGAGACTTTCCTGCCCAGACATCTCACATCCTCTTCAACTACTTGGTGAGTAGCTTATGGATCCACTGTGCAGCCCAGAATCTCACCTCTGCCTGTATGTTAATGTTACAATCTGAAAGGAAAGAAATGCTCTTAACTTTTTCTATATAGCACATATCTGCTTCTGGGTTTGTGTGCAAGTCACCAGGCTTACACCAGCCTTTCAGCCCTTCCATGGAGAGGAAAAGGAACCAATGGCTTTTTATTAAACCCCTAAGCAAGCTGTCATGGGTTTCTGAGTTGAACCACAGACAGTGAGTTGTAGACCAGTAGAAGGATCCCTGTGTTTGACAATTTTATTTCAGTAAGTGCTTTGCTTTTGGACAGTCCTTTGGGAGCAAATCTAGTGGCTTCTTTCAAGACTATGGAGAAAGCATTTACTGCAGTCAGGAGATGAAACAGACAAGATGTATGCTACTCCAAGAGCCCTCTGCCACTTGTGAGTTGTCTGTATGGCAGCACAACAGAGCAGAAGGCATAGGAAGTCTCCTACTACAGACATTCTCCTTTTTCCTCATCTACAGTAGCTTTCATGGCTGAGCTGCAACAGTATTTTTGCCCCCAACCCTCATCCTCGCTAGATAAAGGAAGAATAGTACAGCCAGGTTGTTCGGTAATACGTATAAACTTTTAGGATATGAGTTTAATAAGTTTATACCGCTCAGTGAAGAAAGGTAGAACAATATTCTTGTTCAGTTAACACATTGCGTATAACCTGATGTTCCTCTTTCTTACTACCTGCAGGTAGGACTGATCATGTATTTTGTACGCACTCCATGTGAGTGGGGCATGGATGCCATTTCTGCCACACTTACCTTCCTCTGGGAAGTGGTGGGTTATGTAGAAGGACTCTTCTTCAAGGATCTCAAACAGACTATGAAGAAGGAACAATGTGAAGTGAAGCTGCTGGTGACTGCCTCAATGCCAGGTATAAGAAATGTGGTTTTAAATCTCCCTCACTTCCAAGTTCATGACCCACTCTATCAAAAAGGAGATCCATCAGAAAAAGGCAAATGGCTGCATATTCTAAGTCACTTTTCCCTGCGTTGAGGATTCAGTTATTACATTCCACTTCAAATTCCCTGGGATTCAGAGAACTACTTTAAGAGCTCTAAAAGAAGCAAAGAGAAAATGAATTAGAACTGTCTTTACAATTCAGAGCTTTGTGCCAGTTGGACTGTGAAAGGCTGGCAGGATGATTATTGCAAGACTGCACCATTCAGATGCAGTTTGATTTGATTCAACCTCTCATTTAAGTCCTGAGAGAGCCCAAGAAGAGCATGCTATTGAGCATGTTGATGTCACAAGTCAGGCAAGAGATATCTTGCTGAAAAACAGATTTGACTTTTAAGGTTTGTTCCTTCCTCAGAGTGACAGTTGCTGCTAAAGCCAGCTCATCCTTTAGGAACAAATCGATTTCTCATTAACTGTGGAAGTGTGAGACTATGGTAACCCCACATAATGGATTCCAGGCAGGACTGGCATCATCTGTCTGCCCAGAAATGAATTTTAACTATCACTTTTCATCCCTGAGCAGTCTTCTGAAATTAAGTTAATTAAAGAGGACAAAGAGAATGCAACTGTTTTTCTTCCTTTAGGCACAAAAACCCTTGTTGTACATGGACAGAATGAGTGTGACATCCCAACTCAGTTACCAGTCCATGAAGACACACAGTTTGAGGCTCTTCTGAAGGTAGGAGTGAATTTTTGAGCTGGACAAACTGCTTAAGAGTACATTTGCCTGCCAGACCTATATGCCAGCAATACATTCTACGTGATCATCCTTTTTCAGTATCAGGGAAGGAAGTTTTGCTGACAGGCATTTCTGTCTGCCTGTGTGGAGAGCTTGGCTGCAAGAAAGAGGATCCAATATTAAAAGCTAATAGAAAACCCTGACCTCACAGACAGCCAAAACCCCACAAATGCAACTACGTCTGAAGATACTGCAGCTTGTTGGGTTTTTGCTGTATACGATCCTTTGCATAAATGCATAAATCATTTAAATGTTTAGTTTTATCAACATGAAAGTCTAAACAGAAAGATCAAGATCAGGGTGGAAATGATGGCTCAGTAGCCACAAAGTTATCTTGGAATCTAGGAGATGTCAGGTCAGTTCCCCCTTCTGCCAAAGATTTCTTGCATGGCCTTAGCTCAGCCACATAAGAAACGGTTTTGTAAAAGCCTTCAGTTTGTCCAACTGTATAGAATTTTAATGGCAATCACACATCTCAATGCTTTGAAGGATCAGAAACTTCGCCTGTCACTAAATCTTGATAAATACATTGTATGGAAATAGAAACTGCAATACCATGTGACTCATATAACCAGATAAATATGTGCAATATGAAGACGTCAAAATAAGAAACATCATTCTTCAGGTCTGTGATATCAGCAGGCCTTGATTATCACAAATATATTCATATAATTTACAATTAGAAAAAGAAATTAAGAATTAATGTTAGAACAGTCTACCTGACTGAGGCCTTTATAGATTATTAGCTGGATATTCTTCTTTTGTATATTGTGGTCTTTGTACAAGACAGTTAATAAGTAACAGGATATTTTTCTTTCTTCCTTTTCAGGAGTGTTTGGAGTTTTTTAATATACCTGAAACACAGTCTTCTCATTACTTTTTAATGGATAAGCGATGGAATCTTATTCATTACAACAAGGTAAGGCAAAGGTCAGGTCCAGATGACTTTGCTCTTAAATATCAAGTTTATCTAAAGGAGAACAAGCACCCCATAAATAGACAGAATTCTGTCCTATGAGCACCACATCTTGAGTGTTTAGTTTTTTGTGGTGAAAGGTTGGAGTTTTTCAGAGGAGGGAAGATGCAGAAGTGGATCTCTTCCTCTTAAGTCATTCAGTCTAGCTTTCTTAGGAAAGAGCAGTTATCTTCTGTTTATGCTCTTCCATGGTTCCATGACACTGTCTGAAAGACCCTACCCAAAAGCTTCAGAAAGGGCTAAAGAGCTTTTTATTCATCTCTGTTGAGTGATGCTGTTAGGATTACATTTGTTTATTTTAAACTTGTTTCCTTTCCTGGCAGACCTACGTCCGTGATATTTATCCCTTCCGGAGGTCAGTTTCTCCCCAGCTCAACCTGGTGCAGATGCATCCAGAAAAAGGTCAAGAGCTCATTCAGAAACAGGTATCTTACTGCCACCAAATACCTCTGCCCAGAAACAAACCGTTAAATAAACCTTTCTTTTCCTCTTAAAAGTTTCACTCGTGCTGCATGCACATAGAGAGCTTTGCTGGAGAAGTCGCAATTGGCATGAAATCCACCCTGGTGCCATTGGCCGGGTGTACAGTATTTTAAGAAGAGTCAAGGAATGCAATGTGAATTCCTTCCTGCTCCTTCCAGCCAACTTCTTTTAGGGAAATCATTTTGCATTCTCCTACACTTCGCTTCATTTGCCTCAGCTTCAAAAGTTGCTTATTACTTTCTTTAACATGACCTCAGGCTGTGAAGCAGGAATTACCTCTTCTGCATTTCCCTCTGTACTCTCACTGTAGAGAATGTGACCTGCCTATCCCACTTGTACTGCTCGCAGTTTTTTACCATAGCTGCTCCCAGAGGCAGAGCAGAAGCAGTTGCTGTGTCAGGGAAATGTCTGCCCTCAGAAGGGCACTGTCCTCCCCATCTTCCAGACTCATGACCTGATAATCTGTTTGATTCTGATAGTGTTCTGCAGACCCCAGGAGTTCTCCCTTAGGAACTAACCCCTGACTCAAGTGGCAGTGCAGTGCCTTCAGTGTGCTGCAGATCCCCACAAGTATAATTTCTGTAGACAGGAAGACAATGGTATTGAGCTCACACTACCTGCAGAACCCACATGCTCTGTTTTTTACAAAAGCAAAGTTGTCTCAGCAGCACAGAGCTGAATGTTTAGGCAAAAGTCGGTCTAACTGTATCTGCAAAGGATGCTAATAAGCAGGAAATAAAAAAGAGGAGGAATGTGGTTAAATAGTCTGAGTTTGGCATTAACAGTTGTATTAGTCTAGTCAAACATCAGCTACTCTCGTAGTTGTGTCCTTAGCAATGTGAGTACAGGGGCAGAAAAATATCATTTGGAATGGTTATAAAAATAAGCTATAAAGCTGCTTAAGAGGTTCTAGCAGTTAAAATAACAGAGAATGTAGTTAATGCCACTCACATGTGTATGGTACAGAATAGGGAAATATTTCATGTGCTGCATCTGACAGTAGAAAATCTGTAAAAATCTGAAATTACTTGAGATCATGTTGGTTACTTCTCTAACTGAAATTATTCTTATCTGGGCTCTAGGAGGTGTCCCCCACATATCAAATAAATGATTTTGATATGCCCTACATGACCCAGAAAAGTTAAAATGGTGTGTCCAATTTTGTCAGGGCATTATTTTGCATTCCACATTTTTCTATTTAGTGTACTTAGAGGCCAAAATATTTCTAATGGAAAACTTAAACATCTACCAGCCTCTCTGTAGTCATGCAAGAAGTTGCTGGACAACACCCAGCTTCAATGAAGAAAACAACACTGTAGAGTATACCCACAGAGCAGCAATTCATGGAAAAGTACTTTCTGTATTGTTGGTTGATGGAGAACCCAATTCTAAGCTGAGTGCACTTCAGAGCAAGGTCAGAGCAACTGCAGGATGTGGGAAGCTGAGCTTTGTCACATGTTAAGGCACATGCTCCAAGTTTTGGCTTCATCCCAGTAGCTAAGAGCTGTCTTGAAACTGCTTCCAAAGACAGTTGCTTCTACTTCTGAGCATCACTCTGCCTTGCGGTTACTTTTAGCATCAGAATAAAATAGCTAACCTGACTAGTCCTACCTGTCAGAAGTCCAAAGGAGCCTAGTAGAATGGAACTCGGTTTCCCAGTTAGTGTAAACCAGAAGCGATAATCTGAAGTCAGTAGGTCTTTGCTCAGTTGCAGTAACTCAGAATCTGGTGTCCTTTGTTTTATTGTCTACTTTTCTATTGCAACCATCCATACACCTTCTATGGCCAGACATAAGACAACCTCACGTTGTCTACAGTCTAAGAGCTTGCTCAGAGCAACTGTAACTGTACAGTTTTCAGTTTGGAATTGGCTTGCCTCTGACCACTTTGGGGCTCGCACTGACAAAGGTTACATTAATCCACAAAAGACCGTCTGGCACAGTTATAAAGTGTTTGACAACCACTCAGGGACCTCCACAACACTGAAAAAGAAAGTGTTGTTACAATCTCTTTTACAAACACAATCCATCTTTGCTGAGCTGGACTGAAAAACAGTGGTCACAAAAATTCTAGAAAAAGATGCAGCACTAGCCCTGTGAATTTCAACAGGATCCTCTGGACCATGAGTGCAGCATCCCTCCCATCACAGAAAGTCACAGAAGCTAACCTAGAAATGTAAATATATGTTGTAAAGAACTTCTTGATCTCACTGATTCTGATCCTTGTCTTTTTTTCTCTCTCAGGTGTTCACCCGCAAGCTAGAAGAGGTGGGGCGGGTGTTGTTCCTCATATCACTGACACAGAAAATTCCTACTGCGCACAAGCAGTCCCATGTATCTATGCTCCAGGAGGACCTCCTCCGCTTGCCTTCATTTCCCCGAAGTGCCATTGATGCCGAGTTCTCACTCTTCAGTGATCCTCAAGGTATGGCCTTTGGATAGCTTTCTCTGGATTGTACCAATCCCAGAAGGTTTCTGTGAGGCACTTCATTTGCTTTAGAAACACACAGGCTTGTACCATTACACTGCACAAGAAAGATATGGATGTGCTGGAGTGTGTCCAGAGAAGGGCCACGAGGATGATCAGAGGATTGGAGCACCTCTTCTACGAAGACAGACTGAGAGAGTTGGGATTGTTCAGTCAGGAGAAAAGAAGGCTCCGAGGAGACCTTATTGTGGCCTTCTAGTATCTCAAGGGGGCCTACAAGAAAGCTGATGAGGAGCTTTTTAGGATGTTGGGTAGGGATAGGACTAGAGGGAATGGATTAAAGCCAGAGATGGATTGGTTCAGATTGGACATTAGGAAGAAGTTCTTCACCATGAGGGTGGTGAGACCCTGGCACAGGTTGCCCAGAGAGAGGGTGTCAGCCCCATCCCTGGGAGTTTTTAAGGCCAGGCTGGATGGGGCTCTGGGCAGCCTGATCTAGTGGGGGATGTCCCTGCCCATGGCGGTGGGGTTGGAACCAGGTGATCTTTAAGGTCCCTGACAATTGTCCCCTGACAATTCTATGATTCTATGATTACTGAAAGCTGATAAATCTCTTCCTAGGTAAAATGATACGCAGCTGTCAGTTTGTAAGCACAAAAGGCTTTGCTGTTAGAGGTCTCCAGACAAAGATACTTTCTTTGGACCCAGATGAGAATAAGTTATAATTATGCATTAAAATTGTGCATGAGACTACAGCTGGAATATTCTATCCAGTAGCATAACTGCATCTCAGAAGGATTGCTCAGAGTCTTTGCCATTTACTTTGAGAAAGCAATGGACTTCCAAAGAAGACTGGGAAAATTCTGCATGTGGAAACAGGCTTCTTCTTACAAAATTTGCTCTGAAAGCCAAGTACATTTTCCAGCCTGACTTGGGGATTAAACATGCCACTGTTGCAGGATGGTAAGCATTGGCAAGATCTGTAACGGGCCCTAAAGGCATTTGCTTTCAGAAGTATGTTTGTAACTCTGCGTCCATGTCCTGTAATGCGTGGGACACCTGAAGGATAAAAATTCAGCATAAATCCACACAGCCATTCAGGTTGTGTGAGGCAGATGGTGCGTGTACAAGCTCAGATCTACTTTCACTTTTTAAGAGGAGAATTTCCAACCAGTGGGAAGCAGATTCAACAAGCTGTGTGATATTCATCATTCTTCATCTTCATGGATGTTGCTTTCAGTCGAGGTTTGCTCAAGCACTGTAGGCATTTCCAGAAGTACAGGATGGATGAAATCATTCTAAAAAGGCAGAATGATGGTCAGTGATGTGGGATGGTTCTTTGGAGAGGCCTTCAGCCTCTGGAAATGTTGTGAGGCTGACTGTCATGGACAGAGTTGATTGCTGTTTCCTCTTCTCCCCTGCAGCTGGGAAAGAGCTCTTTGGTCTTGACACTCTTCAGAAAAGCTTGTGGATTAAGCTCCTGGAGGAGATGTTCCTTGGCATGCCCAGTGAGTTCCCCTGGGGGGATGAGATCATGCTGTTCTTGAACGTCTTCAACGGTGCCCTGATCCTGCACCCTGAGGACAGTGCCTTGTTGCGGCAATACGCTGCCACAGTCATCAATACAGCCGTGCACTTTAACCACCTCTTCTCCCTCAGCGGGTACCAGTGGGTCCTCCCCAGCATGTTGCAGGTGAGCCATTGCCATGGACAATGCAAGGGAAGGCTTTTGAGAGAGCATGTTTTTATAGAACTGGCTGTTAATGGAGAAACTTTAAATTACTGAGTCCTGATGACATCCCATATTTTGGGGGCTCCAGGAAGACAACAGATCAGGGTGGGATGGCCCAAATCAGCATTCCTGAGTCTATATTCCCTTTTCCTCTTGAGTTAATGACTACATTTTCTTCTTTGCTTTATCTTATGTCTTTTTCCACACAGAAATGTGAAATTTCTGGAAAAAAATTGGACCTTGGCTCTCCCTCAGTGTTTTTTCCTCCAGGGATGGCTGAAATTTGGGGAACAGTTGAAACATCTGGGTTTGCTACTTGCTGATTGAAACTAAATTACATTCATTTCTTTAAGTATGATAATTGTATTATCTTCAATTTAAATAGCAACAGAAAATGTTTACGGAAACATTTAACACAAAATATTTGCGGAAAACCGTTGTCTTTTCATGTGAGTGATAACACATATTGAAAGTGTTAGAGATGGAGTTGCTCTTCACTTTGAGATGTACAAGTATGCTTTCTTTCCTATTTACATTTGAGAAAAATCTAGACACTGAAAATAAAAGCCAACCAATATAATTCTTTTACAGATGGAAAGATATTTCTGCAGGACTTGAAGACAGTATCTAAATAGAGGTTTAGTGTTCAAATACAGAAAAAGTCATTGTCTCTGTAAAAGAAGCAATGACAATAACATGCCCATATATGTTCATTTTAACACAGCTAACAGAGCACAGCAATTAGGACCAGTGAGTAATTTAGCTATCTAAACAAACTCACAAGTAATAGAAACTCCAATACCTTACATGGTTAGTATGTATTGGGTCCAGGTCTGTGGTGCATGGGTTTATTCATCAGAAACAAGACGTTTTGAAAGAAAATAACTTAATAACTTAACCTGAAGTACTTAGCAGTAACCATTCAGTCCTGTGAAGGACTCTCCCTTCTCTTTCAGTTCTCATATGAGATAAATTAGTTTTGTAATTTTTTCCTATCCCCCCCACCCTCCCCCCAATTATTGTCAGCCACTGAATTAATAAAATACCACTTTAGGGAGGCAAAAAAAGCAATTCCAAAAGAAAATCCAAGTGTTGCTGAGCTTCTGTGTTTTTGCAGAACCTCACATCGCTGTTCCAGGCACCCAAGATAGGCTGTTTTGTTTGTGGTCATCACAAATTCTCCTACCGCTTCTGGGTTTGAACCAGCCCTTAATAGCTTAATTCTGATGCATACACACACATACACCCACAGGGCTCTTGTTGTTGCAGATTTTTATGCTTTCCTTGGTAAAATGCATAATTCATAAATACAGTTAATTATTTCCCTTTTCTCAAGTAAATGAGATATTGCAAGTGTAACAGGCCATGAGAATTGCCTGTCCTCATAGGCAGGCCAGAGGCTTCTAACTGTGTCAAAGACATACTAATCTCTTCAGCCTGCTAGACTACTGAGAAGGGAATCCATCTGGAGAAGTCTCACACATTAATAGTTTTTTAGACACCTTCAGGAGCCCTGTGCTGTAATGTGAATTTAGCACTGCCATAAAATCTCAGTATCACCTGTTGCCAGCAACTAGCAAGAAAATCCTGCCTACCCCCACCCCAAGCCTCCCACAGATTTGTACCAGCAAAGAAGTGCAGACAGACAATTGAAATGGACAGAAGAAGGAAGCATAGTGAAGTTGTTCCTAACAATTTATACTGTTCACATAACTGAGAAACAAATCCCCCATCTTTGGCAACACATTGGTTGCATGGTTCAGTGGCCAGCCCTGAAGGAAATGTTGTTCTAAAAACCTTAAAATATCTTAAAAGTGGGTGGAACTGTCAGTGTGTTGGAGGAGAGGCTAGGTGTTAGATTATCTTCACAAACTGGAGATGCAGTCTGAAAGAAGGAAAACACCACAACAGATTATGTTGATCAGGCTGGACAAGCACAGGTCCTTACTTCTGAATAATCAGCCACATAAATATGGAAGGGAAAGTAGCTGATTCAGTAGCACTCCTGCAGGACAGAATGTTGGTGTTGTTGCAGATCTGAAACTAAATGTGAATCAACAATGTCCTTCTGTTGAGGATTAAAAAAGAAAAAAAATCTCAAATGCCATTCTGGGGTGACTATACAGATTTGTATCTGTAAAAGAAACATGGAATAATTCTGCTACTCCAGTCAGCAACACTCCTGACTTGAAGTGCTGGCTCTGTCCACCTGTGGACACTGCACAAAAAAATTGAGAACTGAAGAGGTCTCAAACTGGAACAAGGATGTACATCTAGAAAATGTCATGTGAGAAAGGACTGAAAGAGCTGGAATTTGATTAACTGGGAAGGGTGAAGATTGAAGAAGAAAACACTATCTGGCTTCAAACAAGTAAAATGCTTCTAAGAAGGAGAGGGGAGAAATCTACATCTGATGCACAGAACAAAAAATAATGGACTAAAGCTGTGGCAAAGAATGTTCAAGCATGACAAGCAAATTTTTTTTCTAAGGACAATTTGTCCCTGAAATCCATTGTCAAGGAAGGTGGGCAGGCTGTCATCTTTCAAAATATGTTAGGCAAACATACCAAGCATGACAAGGCTTTAGTTAATTCAGTCCGATGTCAGGAGATGAAGAGCCCTTCCACCAGGTAGTACTTCCATGTCCTTTTTCATTTGCTTAGGTATACGCTGACTATGAAAGCAACCCACAGTTACGCCAAGCAATTGAGTTTGCGTGCCGCCAGTTCTACGTTCTGCATCGCAAGCCCTTTATTCTGCAGCTGTTTGCAAGTGTGGCTCCTCTCCTGGAGTTCCCTGTAAGTAAAAGCCATTCCAAAGTCTCAGAGTGGGGAAGCCTGTGTAGGCAGCCAACCCCCTCATCAGAGATCATAAACCATCTGAAGCAGCAGCACAATCCTTACGGAACATTTCCTGACTGCACTTGGTGCTGCACAGAACCAGTTCTTGAACTTACTTTTGCATGCTTCTATTCATCAGTTGATTGATCAGGATGCTGAGATAATGGGTCACTGGTATCTAGGCTAGTAAATTTGGTCTCCCTTTAGATTTCCGTGTATAAATAGGTTATGGACAATATAGGACAATAACAATTAGTAACTCTTCAAATGTGAATCCTTTCTTAGAATTCACCAATAGGAACTAAATGCTTGATGCCAAGATTTAGTACCTGAGAACTACAAGACTGGATTAGCCATGTTTTGAAATATTCACTAATTACTTTTTAATGCTTTAGTGAGTTGAAACAAGTTAATGGAATTTTAATTTGAAGTGAGACTGCCAAATCTAACTCCACATGCACTGTAAGCACACACACACCCCTTTCTCCTGCATGGGACAGCAAAGATCTGCTCTTCCTGGAAAGTAAAGCTGTGTGCACTTGTCAGTTCATGCTTACACTGTAGCATCAATCTGTTGAGTCAGGCAAGGCTTATTGTTTGATAGCAGTATACTTTTGAACTCAGGATGGACCTTTCATTAAAGAAAAAGGTTGCCCACACCTCCAGGGTGGGATTCATACAGGCCCTCAGAAAATCAACCACGAATGTCTGTTGTTCAAACAGGATGCTACGAACAATGGAACAAGCAAAGGAGTGTCAGCTCAGTGCCTGTTTGACCTGCTGCAGTCTTTAGAGGGAGACACTCCAGACATTTTGGACATCTTAGAGCTGGTGAAAGCAGAAAAGCCTCTGAAGTCATTAGGTAACAGCAAAGCACCCTTTACTCAGTAATTCTGGTTTGCTGATTATTGATTCAACCTGCATTTGATGCAGAATGATTTGTTCAGGGCCCTTTTCTTCTCCCAGAATGCAGTCGTATCTGTTTCTTAAGCCTTATGAGGCTTTTAAGGTTGGCTTATCACCACCATCCTTTTGATGTTTTCTGTAGCATGGGAAATTATTAATTTGTTTCCTTCCAAAGCTAGTTTTTCTGCAATGAGCCTGCTAGTCTGAGACTAGCCCCTGGCATTTTGAATTTTATCATGTGTGGGTGAAGAATAAAGATGCCTAATAAATTGTATTATGCTGACAAGATCAGTGTCGTCCTCTCCTCTGCTCCATGTGGACAGGAAAGAAAAGCATCCTCTCCCGTGGGCAGAACATGACTGGTAAATGATGGATGCCATTCAGACATTCAGCAGTGCTGAGTTCTAAGGAGGGTGTTGATTTATCACAAAGCAAAATATATACAGCTCTGTGATATGTCCAGGACACCGTGTCCCTTGATAATTACCCATGCAATGCAGCATTTAAGAATTTGACTGCTTTGTGATTTGCAGGGAAGTAATTTTTGTTGGTTCTTATAAGGATCTTCAACTTATTTTCCAAATTTACACACTTTGTGACCTTAACTTCGACTGGTGCTCCTGCACACAAAAGTCACTTCTAAAAACATGGCTATTGTTTTATTACAAGTTTTATTCTTGGGATACTTTAGTTTCTTTGTGCTTGGCACTAATTATCCTCAATGTAATATCTGTAATATGGGACTTATATGCTTTTGAAAACTTTTTCTTAAATCACTAGCAAATCAGACTCACATTAGTGCTGGCAGTCATGTGGTTACCAGTATAGAAAGGGCATGATTTTTCAGCAGTAAAACTATCTTCTGCCAGGAGTGGTGTATCAGCATCCTTTTTAGTCTGGTGGAAACATCTAGGAAAAAGCAGAGGGAGTATAAAAACTGTCATTGACATGTGTTTTTGTCAGATATGAGCTTAAGATTTTGCCTGTGATGAGTAATTGAAATGGGACTCTGAGAGCAGCTGTAGGCCTTATGCTCAGCAGTGATTTGACCTACCCAGAACCATTTCTCACCTACTGTGTTCTTGGATGGCAGGGTGCAAGTGTGAGTGCAGCATATGTTTCCTTTATATAGACAGATTTTTATCAAAAATCAAGACCCTGTTGGGGATTGTTAACATAAAAAGCAAGCAATTCAAGAGAGGGAAAAGGAAGGAGTGTGCTAACTCCTTCCATATTGCGTATGTTTGTCTGCTAGATTTCTCATAGTGCTTTACTCCCTCAGACTTCTGCTATGGGAATGAAGACTTGACCTTTTCGATCAGCGAAGCCATCAAGCTGTGTGTGACGGTGGTGGCCTATGCTCCTGAATCATTCAGAAGGTGCTAATCTGTTTTCTTGGTTTGCCCAGACTCAGAAAAGGCATAAAACCTGCATAGACATGCAAAAGCAAGGCTGACAAATGGAGGCAGAGGATATAGAAATGCATGCCAAGCATGGGGCTTCTCTGTGAGGCCAAGCCCCTGCCTGTTGATACCTTTCCTAGGCCACTCGCTCCAAATCTTGTAAGCTGCTGGCTGCAGCACTAAGCTGGATGGCAGCCTGAGCAGCCTCACATAAGCTGCGTTTCCAAGTGAGGATCACACTGCAGGTTTCTGTTGTCAGAGAAGCAATGGAGAGGGAACTGGAGGGGATGAAACAGGCAGCTGGAAAGAACAGGAAGATACAGAGAGAAGAGAGGTTAACCGCTAAAGCAAAAAGGTTAGTTTCCAAGAGTGAACCAGAGAAGAATGGAGCCTTTGGAAGGAAAAATGAATGTATGCAAATGAATGATATAGTCACAAAATATCCAGAAATTCAGGTTGTTTTTATTATTATTACAGTATGCTAGGGATTGGAAGGGACCTCAAAAGATCGTCTAGTCCAATCCCCCTGCCAGAGCAGGAACACCCAGACGATGTTACACAGGAAGGCGTCCAGGCAGGGTTTG